AAGAAAACAAAAATCCTCACCACTGGACCAATAAACAACATTCTTATCAATGGAGAAAAGATTGAAGTTGTCAAGGACTTCATTCTTCTTGGAACAACTATCAACACTCATGGAAGCAGCAGTCAAGAGATCAGACGATGTATTGTGTTAGGCAAATCTGCTGCACAAGACCTTTTTAAAGTGTTGAGCAAAGATGTCAGCTTGAGGACTAAGGTGCGCCTGACCCAAGCCCTGGTATTTTCAATAACCTCATGCATGCGAAAGCTGGACAGTGAATAAGGAAGACCATAGAAGAATTGATGCTTTTGAGTTATGGTGTTGGAGGAGAATACTGAAAGTGCAATGGGCTGCCAAAAGAACCAGCAGATCTGTGTTGTAAGAAGTGCAGTCAGAGTGCTCCTTGGAGGCCAAGATGGCCAAACTTCGTCTCTCATACTTTGGACATACTGTCAGGAGGGACCAGTCTCTGGAGAAGGATATCATGTTTGGTAAGGTGGTGGATCAGAGAAAAAGAGGAAGACCCCCAGCGAGATGGATTGTGGCAGCATCAATGCGCTTAAGCGTGGCAACAGTTGTTCCTCTGTGTTTTGGTTGAAGAAGTCGCAAACTTGCCTAGACTCCAGCTCTCGATGAGAAGAGTGTCAGAGAACCTATGACCACACATCACCATGGAAGGCAATGGGGACCAGCATGGTGGAAGGAGGCAGGAAGACAGGTTCACTGGGAGCTGTCCTGCCAATCCTTCTGGACACTGACCAAGCTGATCCTGAATCACTGGTCCACTCCCAGGAGCAGCTGCTAGAACCAGAAGGGGCCCCGCTCCTCAAGCCTCAAGTCCACCATCAACAAACGATGGAGGATGTTCAGTAGGCTGGGATGGAAGCTGTGATCAGGGCGGTTGCATCTGACCTTTCACCTTCTCTCATACTAAACTCCATCCACCTTCTTCAGTGGTTCTCACGCTGGTCCTCACTCACCCCCATAATCTCACCTTTCTCAGAACACCTAACTTCACTGTAAACCCTTTTATTATTAGCTTAGGCAGGGACACGTGCCATTAGTGACTTAATCTCCACAAGACATTTATCCCTAATTGCTAGTCATGGATGATAATTAGTGACTGTTAATTCCTGATAATTAACAAGCTAATACTTAGAGGTAATGGCACCGGGTAATCATCGTAAAAAGGCTCAGTGTTCCCCTGCTTCTTTCTGCTTCCCAATCTTTCAGGGTTGACACTGCATCTCAGTATCTAACACAGGAGTCAACTAGGGCCCCCTGCATTTGTTTAAGAGATTTGAGTCCTCGCTTTAATTTAGTTTTCTTCTCTGGGTATAGGAATAATGCATGTTCCTTTAGAAGAGCTTTATCAAGCACAAAAATGTATAAAGAAAATAAAATATACATAACCCAGTTCCCTGGGATCATCCACAATCAGCATTTTGGTTTATTTCTTCCCAGTTTATGAATTTTTTACACAGCTGAGCTTGGGTTAAATATATGGTTTTGCATTCAGCTTTATTCATTTAGCATTGTAACATAAACATTCTTTGCTTATGATAGTAGTTTGTGGGGGAAAAAAAATTCTGCCTCCCCTGCCAGAGAAGTCAAATAAAATATAGAAGAGGGATGGTATTTGTGGGCAGGAGAAGTGATCTTGCAAAAACAGAGGCTTGAAGTGTCTGATCTGTGGGGACTAGGACAGAGTCGCTATGGGTCGGAACCGACTTGGCGGCACTTAACAACAACAAAGGTATTCATTGTAGACTAGTGTCTTCAAAACTTCAAAACTACCAGTCGTTCCATGGGAGAAAAATGGGGCTTTCTGCTCCCACAGAGATTTACATCCTCAGAAACCCTATGCTGGGTCACTATGAGCCGGAACCGACTCCACGGCACACCCCCACCCCCACCACCAGTGTCTTCAAGGATACTTCTGTACCCTGCTCCTAATAGCTGCCGGCATTGAGGGGAAAGACATACATACACACACTTACATAGAAAAAAGACTGGAAGGAAATGAACTAAAATGTTACTAAAGGTGTTGGTTTCAGAGGAGAGAATTACAGGTCAGTGTTTCTTTTTTGCTTTATCATTTTCTGTGTACAGAACAGAGGAGGGGAAAAAAAAACCTTGGACCAGCTCCTCCATGTGTCTGGTGGAATACGTTCACTCTGGACTTGATTTTATTACCTGCGGCGTGATTTGAGGTAAATGGTTTTCAGAATCAGAAATACTGGGTCTTGGTCACCTCCATGAAACGGGCACTAGAAGATAAGCCCAGATGACTCCCAAGAGTAACTGTCAAGCAATTGCCTTTAGGTAACACTTGACCACTTGGAAAGAAACATTTCCAAATATTGCATCTCATACATTTCTCTTTGTTTCTTACATTATGACCCACTTTGGGTGTGTCAAGGAGCCCTGGTGATGGTGTCGATTTGGTGTTGGGTTGTTAACCTCAAGTTCAAGTTGTTGTTATGTGCCGTGGAGTCAGTTCCGACTCATAAAGACCCTGTACAGCGTTTCTGAGGCTGTAAATCTTTATGGGAGCAGAAAGCCTCATCTTTCTCCCATGGAACAGCTGGTAGTTTCAAACTGCTGACCTTGCAGTTCGCAGCCTGATTTGTAACCACTACGCTACCAGAGCTCCTGAACCTCAAGTTCAATAGTTATCCTATAAAGGCTGTCTACTCCTATAAAGATTTTCAGTTAGGAGTCAAAATCAACTTGTTGGCTGTGGGTTTGGTTTGGGGGCTGGTTGGATGTACCATCAATTTCTCCAACCTGCCTATTTCTTCAGTAGGGAGATGGTGCTGCCTGGGTATCAGAATATAGACTTTGGAGTTAGACCATATCTGCCACCCACCTCCCACTCCCTGCAGGCTACATGTTATTGTTGTTAAATGCCATTGAGTCGATTCCAACTCATAGCGACCCTGTATAGGGTTTCCAAGGAACCGCTGGTGAGTTTAAACCACTGATCTTGTAGTTCAAACCAACCTTGCAATCCAGTGCTTTATCCTACAGCACCATACCACGTCTAAACCTCAGCTCCCTGATCTGTAAAATGGAGCAAAATACTACCTACTAATAGGGTCAGTGAGGGGGTTCAGATGAGAATCCATACATCAAGCTTCACATATATCTGGCAGTCAATATGATTTCTTGTTATTATGTTATAATGTATTTAGATTATAGTCAATATTTTTGTTTATTTTATGAATTATTGTTGCTGTTGCTAAGTGCCTTTGAGTCGGTTCTGACTCATAGCGACCCTGTTTAGGGTTTCTGAGGAGCAGCTAGTGGGTTTGAACAGCCAACCTTGTGGTTTGCAGTCTAGCACTGATCCCACAGCACCACACCAGTAGCCCATTTTATAAGTGAATATGATTCTATGGCATTGTTCTATTTGACTCTATGTGGAGTTTCATAAATTCATCACACACTCTGAAAAGGAATGAGACTTTTGCATTCCCAAAGCTCACTCCAGAACTTAAAGGGCTGGAATTATAGGGTTGGCACACAAGGTCACCTTCAGCTTACTCTTTCATTTCCTTTTGCTTTTATAGATTCAGATCCAATCTCCTCCACTTTCCAATTCTAAATCTCCAAGACCCTAATCTTTTTGTCCCTCTGCCAAGCTTAACATGAAGATTCAGCTGTTCAGCCACGGCCAGGCAAGCAGCCGCTCTAGTTCAGAAATGCAGATCTCTGTCTGCCTTGCTGGAGCCAGAAGCTTAGTCCATTGTCCCCGGATAAGAATGCTTTACATGAACACACTGTGTATGTTTCAGAGCATTTTCATATCTGCTACTGTGTTTAATCACCCAACAATCGTGAGGAGCTGGCAGGGAGGGTCTTGTTATTTTCCACGGAACAGGACATGGTTCCCAGAATAGGTTTCCCACAAAGTGACAGATAGTCAAGTAGGTTTAGAAAACACTGGACTCAGCAGAAGTAACTGGGCTTCTCAGGGTCTTTAGCATTAATGCGCAATGTGATTCTTTAAGACCTAGATGAGTGTTTCCTAAGCTTACCCTAACAGACAGTGCTACTTTTCTGGAATATTCCATGGAACAATTGCTTCATGAACCCACTTTGGAAAGCACTTGTGGAGTGGCAAGAGAAAGGGCTTTGGAGTGAGGTAGAGTGAGGTTCAAATCCAGGTACCACTCCTGACTAGCTGAGTGACCCTTCGACCTGATTCTTAACTGCTCGGATCCTCAGTTTCCTCTTCTGTAAAATGAGTGTCCTGGTGTGGCACTTTAGGATAAGCACTAGACCACAAGGTCTCATTAAACTACAAGATCAGCAGTTCAAACTCACCAACCGCCCCTTGGAAACCCTATACAGGGTTGCCATGAGTCAGAACCCACTCAACGGCACTTAACGGTGACAGCAATAGTGTTAACAAAATGGCGAACAGTGGCAAACCCTCAGTATTTAGCTTTTGTTACCATTCTCCTCCTCTATATTGTTGGTGTGGTTAAGTCAGTCCAGACTCATTGTTACCCTGCATAGAGTTTCTGAGGAGCAGCTGGTGGGTTTGAACTGCCAGCCTTGTGGTTCACAGTCTAGTGCTGACCCTACAGTCCTCCTCTGTATTAGCCAGGAGAAAACTGGTCCCCTCAGAGAGGTTCATTTCCCAACCTAACACAGCATCTCCTAACAGAGTTGAACTCCAGGATTCCAGCTCCCGGGTCAAGGCCCTTGTGGTGTAGGGAAGGGGCTGTGGCTCTTATTCAGGCATCTCACCCCTTTGTTCTCTTCTCCTGTCCTTACCCCTGCTCGCCATCCTTGGGGTTCTAACGCCATCCCTTTAGCAGATGCTGGAGTTCTGCAAGCCTGAATCTTACTTGTCATGCCTAATGTCACTACCCTTTCTGTGGTAGCCCCAAGGCCCCTCACCTTGGCCTCCTCAGAGCCCGGGACACTATCTTCTCCCTGCTTCCCAGATCTTGCTGCTGGACCACCCTCAAACTCCCCCCCCCCCCCAGGGACCATGAGTAGCTGCGGGAAGAAGGCCCTGACCCTGCTGAGCAGTATCTTCGCCGTCTGCGGCCTGGGCCTCCTGGGCATTGCTGTCAGCACTGACTACTGGCTCTACCTGGAGGAGGGCGTGGTCCTGCCGCAGAACCAGAGCACTGAGATCAAGATGTCCCTACACTCGGGCCTCTGGAGAGTCTGCTTCCTGGCAGGTAAGGGTGCAGGGCGGGCATGGCAGACAGACAGACAGACGGGAGACAGCCCTGCCAGAGAGCCACCCCCACCTCCCACAGAAGCCTGCCCCTTCCGGAAGGACGCAGTTCACCACGGACAGCCCTCATGAGCTCCAGGCAGGGCTCTCTCCTCTGTTAGGACACGGGGCCAGACTCAGCCAGGACCCGGAATAGGGCTGGACCCCTTCCTCCTCCACCTCCCAGGGCTGAATGGAGAATGACATCACACAGGCCTAAAAATGCTTGTGCTTGCATCGTTGTTGTTATGTGCCATGGAGTCGGTTCTGACTCACAGCGACCCTGTACAGGGTTTCCGAGGCTGTAAATCTTTACGGGAGCAGAAAGTCATCTTTCTCCCGTGGAACAGCTGGTAGTTTAGAACTTCCCATCAAATCAGTTCCTATAGGAATTTCCGAGGAGTGGCTGATGAGTTTGAACTGCCCACCTAGCGGTTCAAATCAACTTGGCAGTGCCGTGCATTAACCCACAGCGCCACACCAGGACTCACATTAGCTCACTGAATTTGTTGTCGTTAAGTGCCACCAAGTCGGTTCCTATTCATAATGACCCTGTATAGGGTTTCTGAGGAGTGGCTGGATTAGCTCAGTGAATTTTTTGTTGTTATTAAGTGCTGTCCAGCCAGTTCTGACTCATAACCCCTGTTAGAGGGTTTTCCAGGAGCAGCTGATGAGCTTGAACCGCCAACCTTTTGATTCAAGCCAACCTTGCAGTGCAGAGCATTAACCCTCGGCGCCACGGCAGGACTCCAGTTCACTGAACTACTGATCCCATCTAACCGTCCAATCTCTCCCAAGCAGGACTTACTTCCATACACAGAAGAAAGTGAAGCTTCAAAGAAGTTAAGCAAGTAAGTTTCCTGACTCCAATCCACTTACATCACTCTTTTCCATAAAGGAAAATTCTTAGTGATTTCTTGGCTGCTAAATGCACTGAACTGTGAACCACAAGGTCAGCAGTTCACACCCACCAGCTGCTCCTTGGAAACCCTATTTCAGGTTGCTGTGAGTTACAACTGACTCGACAGCACTTAACAACAACAACAAATCTATGAAGTGGTGATGAGGGGACTCAATGCAGGTTCTTCCAAGTCTGCAAGATTCTGATCCCAAGCCCACTTGGCCCTCCGCCAGCTCTCTAGTTCTCTGGAACTCTAGATTGCTACTCAAGAACCCAACCTTTGTCCTGCTCTGGTCCTTGACAAGCATCTCCATGCCGTGTGAGCCTGACCCCAGACTGGACTAGCTGGAATCACCACAGTGTGGTCACAGAGCCTTTCTGGATAAAGCTCTGTATCCTACATGCGCTTTGGGAAGAGGAGCAACTTGGTTTCCCCTCCTAGTGGAAGGCTTTGAAGGCTGAAAGGTAGAGTTGGCCCATTGTTCTGGTCAGTAGAGAGTAGACAGAAGCCTCCAAGCCTGGCCTCCAGGTCACTTTGGGAGTGACATTCAACAGTGACCTCCCCTTTCCACTGCTCCAAGACCTAAAGCTGAGCTTGATGTCACCCAGGATCTGGCTTCCGAAGGCGATCACCAAGTTTTGGGGAGCCCGGCATGCAGTCCATTGATCCAACCAAACCTAATTCATGGCCATCGAGTCAATTCCAACTCATAGTGACCCTATGGAACAGCACTGAACCGCTCCTTAGGGTCTCTGAAATTGTAAATTTCCATAGGAGCAGACAGTCTCATCTTTATCCCACAGAACGACGTGTGGGTTTGAACCACTGACCTTGACGTTAGCAACCCATTGCATAATCTATCATGCCACCAGGTCTCCTGGTCATTGGCTCAATGTTCCCCAAAGCAATGGGGTGGCCACCAGAGACTTTAATCACCACTGAAAATTTGTGGCGTTAATTTTTTTGCATGTGGCTCTTGGCCCCATCTTCACAAGGATGCTTCTCCAGGAAAGCTGTGAGGTAGGACATGTTTCCACCCTTGCTGTGGGCCACCAGCCACATAGGGTTTGAGTCCAGCCTGTGTGCAAATACACAATGGGAGCAAAGATCCTAGAAACATTTAAAAATACAATGTGAATGTACTAACTTCAATCCATGTTGGGGAAAGATTGGGAGGCGTTGATGCATTTTCATCTCTGCAGGCGAGGAACGGGGCCGATGCTTCACCATAGAATACGTGATGCCCATGAACACCCAGCTGACATCCGAGTCCACAGTCAATGTGCTAAGTAGGTGCCTTGGACCTTGCAACTGGGGCATTGGCTGGACAGAAAGTAGCAGGTTAGATGGAAAAACAGAGCGACTACTTGTTTCTCAAGAGCAGAGACTGTAGACGCCTCTAGTAGCGCTGGCCTGAGTCCACCAGGGTGACCCCTGGGTTATTTTTCAGTGGTGAAGATGGGTCGCTGGAGACTTCAAGTCTTGTGTCCCAAGTGAGCTTTTGTGGCCTTGGCACCCTAAGAGTGAGCTCTGACCCCCAGAGTGAACTGCTCTGTGTGTGCATAACTAAAAGTTAAAGAAGAAAGGCAAGTGACCACCCATGGACTAGGGACTGTTCTTAGTATATAGGGTGCTCATTCATTCACATTCGTGTCCTTTCTCATTGATAATTATGGGAACGGAAGCAAGGTGGTGTCGCCAGGGCCCTGCTAGTCTGCGACGGCCAGGTTGGCCAGCAGTTTAGACTCCCCAGGAGAGAAGGGGTTCATGGCCTGTGTTGGTATTTGCAGGTAGACCCCCCAACCCAGCCTAAGAGGAGAGATTGAAGCCTGGGGAACTCTTGCAGGACTGGGGGTTTTGGGGCCTTGGTAGACCACTTGGAGCAGTATCACATGTCACTTGGGAGGTTGAGCAGCAAGTGAGGCCCCGGGAGGCTGACCTGGCATCCTCTCATCCCTTAATTAGAAATGATTCGCTCTGCCACACCGTTCCCGCTGGTCAGCCTTTTCTTCATGTTTATTGGCTTTATCTTGAGCAACATCGGACACATCCGTCCCCACAGGACAATACTGGCTTTTGTCTCTGGCATCTTCTTTATCCTTTCAGGTAAGTTGTATTGCTTTCTTTTAATGCACTCTGAACTTTTTGATAGTAAATTCCTAAACAGCTTGCTTTGGGGCACCCTGGTCACAGCCATGGGTCAGCCCCTGGCATTGGGAACAGAGCACGCTGAGTCAACGGACCAGACAGAACCGAGTCAGAGCTAGAAGAAATTCCTGGTGCCCCTGACCCCTCCACTTGCCTGTGGAAGAGCAATGGCAGCTCTGGGCTGGCAGGGACTTGGCAAGCTCCCCCAGATGGTGAGGCAGAGCTGTGGCTGGAACCCAGAGCTGGTTTCCTGTCGACTCCACCACTAACCTCACTTACTCTTTAGTTCTCATGATTATCAGTATTCCTACTTTTGAAGGAACTGCATCTTCGTGCTTTTGCATGAAAAAACAGATGCACTAGAGAAGTTGTTTTAGAGATAACCAATAGAGAGTTCATTTGGGGCAGCAATGAGTCAGACATGAGTTAGGTGTCGAGGAAGAATTGAATCACGCCTATTTTCTTTTAACATTCCTTCTTCACGGTGCCCCAGTTTCATAAAAATAATGTGAATGGAATTAAACCTGAACAGCCCAAAACTGAGTAATTAATTATGTCCTGATTCAATTACAGTTGTTAATTGATGGAACCCAATGCCTGAGGCAGCCATTTATTTATTCAGTGGTAGGCGGAGACTGGGCCCCGGGGGCCTCCTGATTTAAGACTTGCCAAACAGTCTGGACAGACTCTCTCTTGCCTAAAAATCACAGTAGAGAGGGATTTGGAGATACAGAGAAATGAGTAGGCTCAAGAGACAATTGGCAAGTAAATTCAACAAGACTAGGCCTTCATGATCACCCTTAGAAGCAAGATGGCGAGACTTCGTCTCATGTACTTTGGACATGTTGTCAGGAGGGAGCAGACCTGAGAGAAGGACATCATGCTGGATAAAGTAGAGGGCCAGCAAAATTGAGGAAGGCCCCCGCAATGAGATGGATTGTTGCCCATGACTACAACAGTGAGCTCAAACACAGCTGCGATTGTGAGGATGGTCCGGGACTAGGCCCTGCTTTGTTCTGTTGCACATGCGGTTGCTAAGAGTTGGAACCAACTTGATGGCACCTAACAACAACATCCCCTGGAATGATGCCCCCAGCCCTTGCCAGAGGGGGACTGGGCTGTCCTGGCTACTCAGCTAAGGGACTTTGCTGAACCCTTCACCACCAACCACCTGTTAGCTCCATGCTGCACCCCTGGTTCATATTAGCATCACCTGGGGAGTTTTCAAGACACTACAGCGCCCATTCCAGGCCAGGCCAATGATTGGGAATCTCGGAGGTAGGGTTCAGGCATGTTCAGCCTTGAAAGCTCCCCAGATGGTTCTAGTGGGCAGCTTCGGGGTGGAATCTCCGGGCTTAGCCTGTGATTCAGGAGGGGGTTCGGACAGAGAGATTTCTTACCTACCACTCTTGCCCACTCTTGCCGCTGAGTTGACTCATGACAAGTTTGACTCAAGGTGACCCCAACTTGTGTGCTCCATGGTGTTTTCAGTGGCTGCTGTTTCTTTGAAGTAGATCACCAGACCTTTCTTACGGGGCACCTCTGGGCAGACTCAAACCTCCAACCTTTCAGATAACAACCCAGCACTTGTTAACTGTTTGTGCCACCCAGCGACTCCCTCTGCTCACTACAAGGGTCCTCAGGGGAGGAGAGCCTCCTGCCTTCCTTGAATTCCAGAAGGAGTGAATCATTACACAGAGTCCTGAACTGGAACGGGAGGTAAATGACGCATGCGCAGACTCCCCAGGCCTCTGTTTGCTGAGCTGACCTTTGTCCTCCCTGCCCCTACCCAGGCCTTTCTCTGGTGGTTGGTCTGGTGCTCTACATCTCTAGCATCAACGATGAGATGCTCAACAGGACCAAGGACTCCGAGGCCTATTTCAACTACAAATATGGATGGTCGTTTGCCTTCGCTGCCATCTCCTTCCTTTTAACAGAGGTAAGCCCCTTCCTGGGTCACGGGGTGGGTAGACATTGTATGTTTTGAGGCAGGAGGAAAAGACATTGAACATTAATCCTGAACTCACCTTATCTGTTCCCAACTTCATCCCAGAGGTCACTCTGTTTACTCCATCCTTCATCCCAGAAGGTCATGCCTTCTACACCTTCAACCCCACAGGTCACTCTTCCACCTTCATGCATCATCTCCACCCAGAGTGTCCGTCCCCAGGGCTTCCCACGCTGCAGTCTGTCCCAGGCTTCGTGCTGCACAGACACCTGGGGGAGCAAGGTCAGGACCCCAGCAGCAGGGGAGCCCACCTCTGCCTTGTTCTCACTGCAGAGCGCCGGAGTCATGTCTGTGTACTTGTTCATGAAGCGGTACACGGCTGAAGACATGTACAGGCCTCACCCCGGCTTCTACCGCCCGCGACTGAGCAACTGCTCTGATTACTCGGGACAGTTCCTACACCCAGACGCCTGGGTCCGGGGCCGCAGCCCCTCGGACATCTCCAGCGACACCTCCCTGCAGATGAACAGCACCTACCCAGCTTTGCTCAAGTGCCCCGACTATGACCAGATGTTGTCGTCCCCCTGCTGAGCCTTGGCTGCCCACCTCCCTTGACTGTGGAAGCCAGACCACCCCTCTAGCTCCCCATGTCTGACCTGTGAGCCCAGGTCACCCCATGCTTCCTCTTGTTGCTTGACCCATGTCGTCTCCCTACTTCCCCACAGTAGCTATAACCTCCTTCGGGGTTGGGGTCTGGAGTCTGGGGCCAGTGGAAGAGCAACCAGTGGGCTGAGAGTGTGGGGGTATCCTAACCACTTGACTGCCCATCAGAGACTCTCCAGTGCCCTGAGCAGTGGGGTCCCAGCTGTGTATTCCTCCCTGCCCACCCAGCTTCATGGCACGAAGTCAAGCCTGACTCGGAGACGCCAAGTCCCAGTGGGACCTGTGAGCTTGCCAACTGGCCTTCGCCCCCTCTTTTGTGACCTGGGCCACTTGACCCAAAGGTGACTTTGATATGAAGGCCTGGCTAGTTCCAAACCATCCAGTGGGAAGTGTTCCTTATGAGACCTTTTTTCGTTTTGTGTTACCCACATCCCTCCATAAAGCACACCTCCCTGTGCCCTCCACCCCCCACCCCACAGGCTGCATCTCACTCTGTGTCTCAGTGAGCTCTGATCCTGTCCTTCTCCCGCTCCCATGAGACCTCAGCTGTCCTGGGTCCTGTCCCTAAGGTGGTCTGAGACCCCACTAAAGTCACAAAGAGGTGTTCGTGCTGATCATATTTTAAGATACATGACTCCTTGGTAACATTTAATGGGGTGTCTTTAATGCCTTAAGCCATAGAAGTGACTCTGACCATAAGACTCTCAGAATCTGGCTGGATTAAATTAATAGCACCAGGCACTGTTTTAAACCCTGCAGACACGGTCCCTGCCCTTGTGGAACATCTTGTTGCTAAGTGCTATTGAGTTGGTTCCGACTCATAGCAACCCTGCATAGGGTTTCTGAGGAGCAGTGAGTGGGTTTGAATCACTGACCTTGCAGTTAGCAGTCCAGTGCTTATCCAACAGCACCACATCAAGATTCCCCATGGAGTTTACCAGGGCAATATTTCTAAGCCAAGACCCTAAAATCAAATCATACAGACAGATGAGTCTAGCACCTATATAAAAGCCAGCTTTAGGAAGAGGCTGCCCTGGGATTTGGAGCTGGATTTGAGATTCCAGATACATCTGGAACCTAAACAGGGCACATTTGGAATGACCCAGCATGTCTCCCGAGAATACTGTGGACATTTGGAAGATGCCAAGCCAATCCTGATGTGTTCTTGAGGAGGGGACCAGTTGCTGTCCTGTCAGTTCCAGCTCATGACAACCCTATGTGACAGATCAAACTGTGCTCCATGGGGTTTTCTTGGCTGTAGTTTTTATGGAAGAAGATCTCCAGGACTTTCTTCCGTGGTGCCCCGGGGTGGGGTCAAACTGCTAACCTTTAGATTAGTACCAAAGAAACAAAAACTTCCCTGGGGTCAGGTGGGTTCCGATTCATACTGACTATTGGAAAGAAGCGGAACTGGCGCCCCCTAGTGTTTCCAAGACTGCAAAGGAAACAGCCTGTCACATCTGTCTCCCATGGACCAGCTGGTGGGTTTGAAGCAGCGACCTTTTGTTAGCAGCTGAGTGCTTAACCACTGTGCCACCAGGGCTCCGTTAGGTTATTCCTCTGTCTAGTGAGTTATTTGTACTACCCAGGGACTTGAGGTAGGCAAATCAAATGCCTTCCAAAGGCTCTGTTTTCCTGGGAGGAAACCTGAGCTAACGAGGTAGCCAGAAAGCCGGCAGGTGCAGCCTCCCTATCTCTAAGGCGCCCGCGTACGTTCCTAGGCGGTCGGCCTGAATTAGCCAAACAGCACGTCCTCTCCTCTCCTTGCTGTGTGTTTCTTCTCCGGCAGTTTCCCCTCGCTTCTCATGAAGATCCCATGAGGCTCTTGGTGCACAAAGCCATGTCGAGCAACGAGCGCACTCGAAATTAGTCCAGACAACAGCACCTTTCTATGCTGCGTGACTCCATTTGTCTCACAGCCTGGGAGAGGAAAAAGAAAATAAAAGGTCATTCTGGATCCAGTGTAGCACCAACCAGACGTGGATCCTTAGGCTTAAGCCTGCCCCCACACTCCCTGTACCCAAAGACTTTATCTCACGTAGAAAGCTCCAGATTGCTGTCGGATGAGAACCTTCAATCCTTGCCTATAAACGGATGCCGTTGTTGTTAACTGCCAGCCAGCCAGCCATATGGCAACCCCAGGCACAACAGAACAAAATGTTGTGGGGGTCCCACACAACCCCCATCATCAGTTACAGATTGGACTGTAGTGAGCCATAAGATTTCCTTGGTTGGTTTTCAGAAGTAGATTGGCAGGCTTTTCTTCCTAGTCCATCTTGATCTGGAAGCTCCACTGAAACTTGCCCACCATCATAGCAACACACAAGCTTCTACTGACAGATGGGTGCTAACTGCACATGGCATGCCTTGGCTGGGAATCAAACCAGGGTTTTCTGCAAAGAAGCCACCACTGCCCCCTACAAATGGATACTAACTATAAACTGCAGGTTCCACATCATTGGTCCCCTGGGGATGACTCTGGTACCTGGTTACCCCTACAGAATAATGTCAAAACAACGCTCTCCCCCAAAACAAAGCAATCGAATGTCAGGACAGTTAATGTACTTGGAGACCATTTTGAACATTTCCCAACTAGACTGTTATTTTAGATGTGCTTCTCTCCAATTTTTGTCTGTGTAATTTGCTAAGCACTTTTTTTGTTGTTGTCGTTGTTCCAGGCTTGCTTTTGTGCATATGGAATAATAGAAGTCCCTCTTAATGTAAGCTGGTAGTTGGCTGAGCTATCATTAGGACTACCTGCCTGGATACAGAGATGCTAAATGCAGCAGCCCTAACCCAGGAACACACACTTTGCACTGACCTTAGGAGCAGGTTGTGGTTATTTACCTGACATAGGTGAATGCATTGGTAATTGTACACACATTACAGCTTTCCTTCAGTCTGTGCATTCAGTGCAGAACGATGTGCTGGGTCTCCGTGATCAAAAGCTGCTTATCAAATATGAAAGTGTATAAACTCAACTCAGAAATCATAAATTCGGATTCCTTTCCCAACACACTGTCTGACCTTTTGTTTCCTCAAGTGCTTACAAAAAAACCACTTTATTTTTCACTCTCAAAAATGGGATGGGGGGACTAATAAATCATAGTGGAATAAAAACACTCTGGGTTAGCTGCCCCGAGAAGACGGTTCTGACACTGACTCTTTACCACTTGGAACCCACTACCCTCTTTCTCTCTGGCTGAACCAAGGAGGCTGACCCACCTTCCCAACACCACCACCTAATGGCCTTCAAAGGGCAAGTCTTCTGTCTGAGCTGGGCATGCAATGAGGGCTAGAGAAGGCAGGGACAAATCAGGCTTAGCATCAATGATTCCAGAAGGCCACGTATGGGAGGAACCACTCTCCCTTCTTCCTAAATAAGGGTCTAGGGGTAGACAAGTCAGGGGAAAGAGAATTCTAAAACCCAGTTTCCATCAATCAAGTTGATTCCAACCCCTGATGACCCCGTGTATATGGAGTAGAACTGCACCATAGGGTTTTCAAAGCTGTGACCTTTTGGTAGCACATTGCCACAGTGATGTCACTAGGACTGGTGCCTCCCCCCCATGTGGCAACTCATGGTATCACCTCATCCCCCTGAACCTCCTCCCATACCAGTCCATATAGAACCCTTAGTGATATTTATTCTCAACTTTAATCATAGAGTAATATGTGATCAATACAGTTGTAAATTGCTCAAATGCACTATTTCATGAATTGTGTGGATACTAACGACAGAATTGTTTGGTAAACTCTTTCTACATTGAATTACAACATTATTCGTATCTGAGTAGAAGCATTTTTTGGCTTTTTTCTCCTTTTCCTTTAGCATTTCATTCTCAAAAGTTATTGAGCTAGGTCCTCAATACTACATGCCACAATATTGCAGCTAAAACACAGAATATTTGACCAAGTCAATGACTGAAAACATTGGCAGCAATGAAAACGACAAATTCAAAGCATCATTACAATGACAACAATGACAATTCTGACCACAGCGCATTATTGTTATGTGCTTCTCATCAGTTTCCAAGGAGCAGCTGGTGGGTTTGAACTGTCAACCTTGTGGTTCAATGCTGAGCCTACAGCACCACACCAACTTTTCCTTGATCAAAGCACATTGTTGTTGTTGTTGTTAGGTGCCATCGAGTCGGTACCGACTCAACGACCTTATGCACAGCAGAATGAAACACTGCCCG